TAATGTTGAAGTCATTGTCTGAGACCAGACAGAGACAGTTCACTCTCCCAATCACTGTCATTGTTTAGCAACCAACCTGTACCGGAAACGCGTTTTTGTTTTAAATGTGACGGACACACACACACACACACACGCACGCAATTTCAACATAAGTTACAGAAAACGGACCCCAGTATTAAAATATAAATGTCCGTTATAAACACTGCCCACAACGGTGATGAAGATAGATTTTTATATTATTATTTAAAAATGTGATTTAAAAAGAAAGGCCTAAATTGTATCATGAAATGCGACTTTCCTTTCAGGTAAAAAAAAAAAAAAAATTGACAACGTTTATAAAGAATTCGTTGAAATTAAAACATCACCGGAAACGGCTCATTTATAACAGGAATAAAAATATAGGGTGATGTTTTAAATCAATCCATTAATATTTACCAATGTAGAATTTACATCTGATGTAGTGAAATATTAACAAGAAAGAAAAAAAGAAAATCAGTGCTTTAGCTTTGCCACACACACACACAATTCATACATAACCTGTGCAAAGATAAATAAAGTCACCGATTATTAATATTCTGGCTGACAACGTTGTCCGTTTAAATTTAGATTTAGATTAACGCATTTTGTTATTTAGTGAATTTTAGTTAACATTACGGATGTTTATTATATTTAAGAACAGTCTAATATGAATGTATTAGTACAGTCAAATGAATTTGAGAAACAACAAAAAAAAAAAAACACATTGTAAAATCCATAGGCCTGAATTTCTGTTGGTAACTGGTTGTCATGATTATCTCAAGTCTTTCCTAAACCACAGATACCCTTTATCGCCTTTAGGATATATTTTTCAAAACTAAATACATTCTTCTTGAGATCTGGAACTATACATACTGATGTAAAATAATAATAAATACTAAAATAATTGCAAAAATAAGACGAGAGTCAGTGAAGCAGGACCAAATGGTTCATCGGGAGGATACTAAGTGTCTGAAGTCCGACAGCAGATATGTGTTCACGACAGGAAATTAACATTTATGTGCTGGAGTATTTAAAAAAAAACAAAAACATGTCAAGTCCAGGAGTAAAACAAACAGCAAACCAAGTCAAAATCTTCCTATCTTTAACATGATACGAAGCTCTGTGACGACTCTAGGTTAGCAGTAGCATTGTTGTTTCAGAGGTAATACTGCCATCTTCAGTCAAATACAGTCGTGCAGCACCACTGCATTTTACGGCTGCCATTAGCACCTACGGGCTACAGCAACCGGAAACGTCTGTGTAGGTTCTCAGTCGTCCAGGTCATCTTATCCAAAAATAGTTACACCGAGGGCAACTAGGTTTCTTGGAGACGTTTCACATCTCATCCAAGAGGCTTTTTTCAGTTCGACGAGAGGTGAAACGTCTTCAAGAAACCTACTCGGTCTAGTTGCTCTCGTTGTAATTATTTTTGAACAACCGGAAATACTCTGCAGGTAATGTTAGCTCAAAAAGCTAGCAAAAGTAAACGTAAAGCTAGCATAAAAACGTTTCATTATTTATGCGTTTCGAGTTTATAATAAAATTATATTTACAATGCCCGTTTTTTGGCTAGCGATGTGAGAAAGAAATAAATGAAGAAATAAATGAAAAAATATATAGAGAGACTATTATTTAATGTAATAATAATGTCACAACACATTAGGTGTTTGAAATTAAACTCTGTGGTTCACTGTATGAAATAAATACAAGTATGAATCAAGAAAAATAAAATAGATAAATGAATATATCACTAGATGAATATATAAATAAAGACCCACACACCCACAGAGAGACACACATACGCGGGGGCGCG